GGATTCTACTTTTAAGGTCAAGACTGTGGTATAAAGGCAGGGTATTTTTCTAAAATCGCTACCACAACTGTTACAATGGCGTAATCTTTTGGTGACGGCGTACATAGAGCGATTTCCGGTCCTGTAACCAAGCTTCATTATGCGTGTGTCATGCAGTTGATGATGCATTGTGGGATATGGCTATCGACACATCGGAAAATTGTGAGCAGTAGATGGAAGTAAATGTAAATATGAAGTACTATCAGTAGAATACCCTGCCTCTAAGGTCAATCAAGTATGAACTAACCTCCGAAATTTGGACGATCATTCGCGTCATAGCTCCATGAATCCGTCATAACTGTGACCAGAGCTTCAGGAGTGTTTTCTGGAACAGGATCCAGAGATGGAGGTTTGTTTTTTGTTTTGAAGATCTTCATCATGGCAAATCCTCTTTCTGATATACAAAAACAAAACAAAAATCATAATTTAGAAGGAATGGAAAGTAATTGCATTAGCAATAAACATGAATGGGTAAAACAGTCAAATGTTAGTGCAATTAAACACACATTTATGAGCATTAGGAAATTGAGCCTATAGTCTCTGTGTAACATGATTTGTTATTCATGATCTAGTTGCAAACAAAGTTTACACCAATTAGGGGATGTGAGATGGTTCAGTGGTAGAACAGTTATCTCATAACTATATAGGAGGACCCAGGTTCTAAACCATGTGAATTCACTTGACTAGTGCTCTTTGGTAAGGTATTAAACCTCATTACCATGTCCCTCAGAGAGGATTTGAAACCGTCAGTCACTTTCCTTACTTACAAACATATATGCACTTTTGAGCAGTCAGGTTTAAAAATATATATCAAAATCTAACCAGGGACGTGATAGAGAAGGACTGGAATCAAGCTGCTCTCCTTTGACCCCATGCTCCACGCCGCCGAAAAGTTATGCGTTAATCTGCAACTGTTGACCAGGTGGTGAGATAAAAGAGCGCATGAAATTTCAGGATTTAGCATTCCTACATCAGAAAATGGTATCACAGCAACTATTCGCTGTCCCTTTCAATGATTTCTCATCCATTGTTAAATGTGTACAGAGTATAACAAGCGAACACAAACTGTGTAATTTCATCCTTTTTTTAAAACTTCAAAAATATTTTTAAAATCACGCGAAAACACGCATAAGCAAACTTAATGTTATTGAAGATTGTAAATCATGGATTAAATAACGGGACATTAAAACATGTACAAATTAGCGCATTATCCTCAAATATAGAGTTTTTGTCAGGATGTAATTTTTATTTTACCAACTCTGGCACACAAATTATAGGAAGGACGGAGTACTAAATTGGAAAACTTGTTTGATGCACTATTCCTAATACAATCCCCATATAAGGTTTTTGATTTACTCTAACATTTTGCCGGTAATTTAATATTTTGTAATAAATGTAAAACTGGTGCCTGGCTTCCGAAAGTCCCCGCAGTGAAAGCGCGGTTCGGAGCATGGAACTTCAAAGCCAAGTTGAATGTTACACATCCCATTGTTACGCTTTAGAACTCACGAATGCGTTTGAATGAATTACAAGAGTCTCGCCTCCTTTCTTTCCCATCCCTGATCTAACTAATGCTATCAAAACAGGAAACAAAAACTCACCAGAGTATGGGTGAATACCTGTCAGAAGTTCATAGAGAGTCATCGCAAAGCTGTGGGTCAATGCATGACAAAAAAAACATGGAATTTTGTTTCCAATATAAAATAAAGTAATACATAAAATAAATCTCACACACACTCCAACACATTGCACTCAAGTTGATACAAAACTGACTAAAAGCAGATATTCATCAGTAAGGCACTCATGTGTTGATTTTATTCATAGGGTTGAGTGAATCACAGTGAAATACACTGTTCTTCAATTTTACTTCATATTTATGTAACTATAACATGTAAATAATTCATTATTCATGAACATGCACAATTAGAGTATTTAATTTTATTGAATAGGTTCCGACAAACTTAACTTAAATAATTGTTTTATACAGAGTTTAATTAAGACATTATTATCCTAACTTAATAGAATAAGGAAACGGTTTTAATTTTTTTTTCTTTTCTTTTTTGTTCATACAAAACATGGTTTAAAATAGCCCCATAGACATGATCTTTATTAAATGTTTGTATGCAATTTCTTTTTAAAATGTGTTCTCTCTCTCTTTAAGTACCATATCGTTAGACTTTGGGGATCATGCTGTTCCACAACCCTCGGCTTCTAGCCTTCTGTATTAGTACCACTCCCAGTTCTTTCACTCCTCTCTCTTCAAACAATTTCTGCAGACTGTCCATCCAAAGTATCCAAAGTGTAAGAATTTCCTCATTACTAACTTTGTCAGTCCAGGGGATTTTCATCATTCTTCTTAAAAAACACATTTCGCAACTTTCTAAACGCTTTTTAGTATCAGAGGCTAAAGTCCGTGTTTCACATAAGTACTGGGTAAATGTAACAATTCCATAATTTAATTCAATTAAATAACGATGTTTTAATGACGTCACTATATGGACCAATATTGCCCAAGCAGACGACATCCCATAAAGAATGAACATAATTGCAAAGCTATTATTTGTCGAATTATAATGAGTTTAGTGTATATAAATGTAATATCATGTCAAACCATTCAAAAGGGGATATGACCCGATTCTGAGAACTAAAATCTTTTGCTTGTAAATACACAGGATAGGGGTTAATTAACAAACAAAGAAACCAGACTTTCAAATTAAAAACCTCCGGAATGAAATTAAGGAGGGCATTTGTTCCCTCTTGAAACGCCGAACATGCCGCGGTCTGTGCAGCTGAATATACAATGGCGTCTTATTTTGTTTACAAGCAACAGATTCCTTTATTTTTGTATCGCTCCATTTGTCATCAAAATAAACCCATGCGCGGGGTTTAGAGTGAGGCAATAGATTATAAATTTAGCCTGACGGTAGTGGAGTAAGAGAAATAACTCAAGAGCAGATGACAACAGGCACTGAAAATGTGTGAGATGTCATGGGACATCGTCTGCTTGTGCAAATCATGTCCATACTGTGATCTCACACATCTCAGCAGCGTTCGGAGAGCTCTTCAGGTGCTATGCCGGGGCTGTATTTAAGCGTTTTGTAATTTGTAATAATCATTACTTCGAATGTTTCCAAGCATTGAATTTTGATAACCTTGTCGAATCAAAGTTTCAACTTTGCAATAATGAAAAAAGTTAGTTTTTAAAATCAATGAATATCTACTTTTAAGTGAACAGTGAAGTAAACATTTTCTCCACCCTTTCATTCTCCTATTGGGTCTTCAAAAAAAATTATCCGAGGGTTCTAGATCGACTGTACATGACATCCACTGCCCAAGAGGATAAAATCCCCTAGAACGATGTGTTGGTCTCGATCGTCTTCAAACCTTTAAACGTGAGCCTTGTTGAATTATGCACATGATAATTCAACAAGGCTCACGTTAAAAAATGAATGAATGAATGAATGAATGAAGGTTTGATGAAGGAGCAAATGAAGAACTTCATTACTTAAACCACATATTAATGTTCAAAATTCGGAACTCTACTGTTCAATAACAGACCACCTCGATGCCGAAAATGATGCTCAAGTAACATTTTTAACATAATGAAATAGTAAAAGCAGGGTTTAAACAATAACAAAACCATTATTTTTTTGGTTTTTAAGTCCAGCATTAAATGACCTTCTGTAACGATAACCTGGACTAATATCACCCTTAAATACTTGAATGTGCAGGACGATTACAGTATACCCGAAATAGCTTGAAGAACTCATTCAAGATTCAGAATATACATTGATTGGGCAAATCACCACTGCTTTAGTTATTTGCTAATTTAATGGACTTCTGAGGAGTGTTTATATGAATTATATTTTCTCACCTGTAGACATCATACTTTGGAGTAACGACCTTAGTTGAGTTGGGTATGTCTGTTCTAAAAGCTTCTGGAGGCTTGTGACTGTCCGTGCCATAACACCCCTTACCAGATGAAGTTTGGAGATTGGTTGCAAGGCCAAGATCTGCAATCTGTACATGCCATCAACAGAAAGAGAAAATCCGTCAAATTCTTATCACACTATTCTAGACTGATTTGTCCCGAAAAGTAAAGGTACTACATATTTTGTTTGGCATGAAAGCTCATGTGATCTTTGTTTCCATGAAGGAGAATTTTCGGGAATCTTACATGATTCCCCATCTTCCTATAATAAGCTCAGCTGCAAGCTCCATTATGATGCGTGAAACGAAAATAGCATATCTTTCCAAAGACTATTGCATTTTGGCAAGTATAAATCAATATTAGAATAACAAAAACAGATTAGTTGAATGCTTTAGTGACAAATGTACACGAAGGTACGAGGGCCAGGAGAGGGGCACCATTTAACAAGATAGAGTTATTTAGATACTCCTGGAAACCTTGTCAGCACACGGTCATTGATGACGTATGATAAGGTCAGATCTTGGTGATTGAATTACTTGAATGATACAAAATATAAATAATGAAAACTATTCCATTCCACAAATATGTGAATGTTACAAATGCTTATAATAGCAGTATCCCCTCCCTTTGAGTTCATTGTATATCTGCAGTATTGCATAACTTATGACAGGAAACTGTGCAAAACAAATTAGGAATCTTGTAAACAACCTTAGAATGTGTATCGCTAATATGCACCTGAAGTCACAGTCAGTGAAGATAATGTAATTTGTTGCTAGACAAGATTAATTAGATATATAATATCCTGCTAGTCTAGACTGCAGTCCATAAAAGCTAAACATTTTAGTACCGTTATCCTCAAAATGAAGTTTGTCAGATTTTTCTATTTCGATCTCTTCAGACGGAAATAGTGAGATACTTAAACTTAAATGGACCTCCGAAGTTTTTCCTTCTGAGTTGAAATAAAGAGCAGGGCATTGTTTCATGAAACCGTCATAAGTACAAGTTCAACGATATCCCACTTAAATGTGTGTTAATTACAATACACTTGATCGATAGGATATCTTGAGTACTTATGATGGTTTTGTGAAATGCTGCAGAGATGACAGGTTAGGAATGTTACCTTGACATTAAGATTACGATCTACTAGAACGTTCTCCAGCTTGAGATCACGGTGAATGATATACTTGGAGTGGAGAAAATGCATTCCGCGCGAGATCTGATAGACCATCCTATTGGTCAGAGGCCAGAGATCAGGGTGGTGTAGCAATTTAGTAGTGCGGAAGTCCAAATGATCAGGATGCTGTCGCCATTTAGTAGTGCGGAAGTTCCAAAGAGATCCATTCTTCATGTATTGTATGACGATACCAAACAGTTCACAGTCGCATGCCTTATCTTCACACTGCACAAATCCTTTGATGGGGACAATGTGCTCACATTTGAGGGAATTTTCGTGCTTTTGAGCCTCTTTCTGGTACATCACCACTTGTTTCTTGTACATCTCCAATTGACGTCTATATAGGATAGTGAGAAGAAAAAAATAGTCAAAGAAAATGATATCTTACCACAAGGCATGAAGATTTGTTTTAAGAATTGAATATGGTAATACGCTAAATAAACGTCTCGCGCTCCTAGTGTAATCATATTTTGTGACACAGGGAATAATACAAAGCCAATTATAATACATTTCTGTATCTTATAAGTTCCAATATTCATCTGTCTCTCCAAACTGAAATTTATTTAAAAAAAAAAAATAATAATAATAATAATAATAATAATAATAACAGTTATAGGACACTTTATACAGACGTTTCAAAGCCTACAGGTGGTACTGTCTAACTTAGTATAATTATTCAACATGTTCAATACCTTAAAAGCAGCAAAATAAAATAAAATATTACTAATAAAATACAATACAAAACAATTGAGTTGAATGAAATTAACTACTTGTGTGCGCCTCCAGTAAACTATAGCTGATTAAAAAGGTGGGTTGTGAGAAGCGTGCGATTATCATGATCTTGTCCCCATATTTGCAGTCAAAGCTCGTTTTACCCCAGAGTGTGCTTTATTCAGAGATATGTCTATGAAACTCGAGTTATTATGTTCTTATGTTTTACAGCAGAGGCCTGTAGTTTATTTCAAGTTCAAAATTTTAAGATTATCTCAAATATTTCTCTGTTGTATGAGATGTGGTTCTTTATTGTTTTAAAGTCAATAATGAACATAAACAACTTTAAATTTGCAGTGCACAACGGAGTGTAAAATCAACTAGAACCACATGTGAAAAGTTTATTAGTAAACATAACCTGTATCCAGAAGATAATGCTAAATTCAAAACTATAAGGGAGTTTTGTATGGGAAAGATGCAGCCTGCATACACATAACCTTATGCAAGCCTCATGCATGGACTTAACATGAAACATTGATTGAAAGAGCATAAAGCTCTCATTTATTTCTTCCAATATGTACTATCAACAACAAAAAAGTTATGTCATGTCAAACAGTATGTCATGTTTACATCAATACATTTGATTACAGAGTAAAACATATATATGAGCAGCTATTAATACAAAGAAACACAAAGAAATAAACGAAAATGGTTTCCCGAAAAAAGCTTCGAACATGATTGGCTGAGAGATCTTAACAGCGAGTTTCATTGGAGAATCAATGAAAAATGGGCATGTAGGGGACATAACCTACAAAAGAATAACATACCCTTGACATAGTTTTCATAATACTGATTAAGAGGGATGTTAAGGGCATGTTAAACGTCGGACACATAGAAGTTAACAAAGTTTTCAGAAAAATGCTCGAGATATTTGGAAAATGGCATTCCTCTATGGGTCAATATGCCATTTAAACAAAATATTTTTACTTACTCTTTACCAGGTTTAGCAAGCTTCACAGCTACATCACCATGTACTGCATGTACAGCCTTGAAGACCTCCCCAAAAGAGCCTCCACCCAAATGGCAGCCTTCGTGATCCCTTGCTTTCTTCTCATGGAAGGCACATTGTTCCCCACTGGAGTCTGTTACAGTGAGGTCCGCCATCACAATGTTTTTAAGAATCACTTCTGGTTGAGGAACAGACAAGAGTGAAGAAAAGAAATACTCAGCAGTCATTATTATTATTATTATTATCATTTATTCGACCATACATAAAAAGCAGATATACAATACAGCATGGAAAGAGAGAAGTACATACATATAAATAAGAATGAAAAAACACATACAAAGAGATATAGGAGCAGGAAGTGGGTCAGGGTGCACAAAAGTAAAGTTCAACATTGTTGCCCGGAGGCATGTGCCCCGCTACAAAAATGAATATTCAATTAATCTTTGTTAAACACAATACTCAGGACCGTTTACAAGCAGCTTGCAGCTAAACTATGTTCTGGATACCGATACTGTATATGCACTTGTAATAATGTAAATGTATATAGTAATCTTTTTTATGTTGCTAACATTCCAGGGGTTAAATCCACCATGAATACAACCTAACGTTAGTTGTGGTGTAAGAAGTAGTATTTACTAACAAAAAAATAGTCAAGTCTCCATGATTTTTTTTAAAGTTTATGTTGAATTAATTTCACAATTATGATAGTATTTCCACTAATGACGGGGCTACCCTATTGAAATAATACTATATAAATAACTGAAATGAAATATAATAGAATAAACAATACAATTACATTAACAAAACTTTAACATGGCCCTCTCACACAAAACTTGTTAACAATAATAAGTAATAATACTGAAAGAAGAAACTAAGATCAATAAGTTTGATCGTTTATATATTGCTTTGTTATTGAATTAAGGAAATTTTGATTTCTAATGTCTTTGTATCAATAGATAGATGGTTGTTACAGACGCACACATACTCGATCAAACCTAAAAACGGTGTTCCAAATAGTCTCCTTCGAGTAATGATTAGATCAAATGATACTTAGACCATAATATTATGGTTATCAGACAAAATGGGATTAGACGGAATTGAAATAGACCAAATGAAAGTATGGACAAACGGGAATATGCAGTTTAGACCAAACAGGAAATGGACTTATTGGGTTTAGAACACTTGATATTAGAAAAAAAAGTAATTCGACCGAATGATAATGGACCAAATATTTATGGGACCAAAATGCAAGAAATATATAGATTGGACGAAACGGCCATTTTACCAATTTGTTACAGACAAGCGGCTATCGCCATGCCGGTAAATTGACTAGTACGATGATAGTTGATACGTTAATTGACCATGTTTGGCGGGTATATCGGGTTTACCCGGGTAAACTGGATGTAGACTAAATGAAGTTGAACGAACTGGGTACTGGACCAAGTGGAATTTGACCAAACGGCAATACAACATTTATTTTCATTAAAATTCGTTCAGTTACAGGATCAGGAAAATTCGATAATTTTGGTTTCACAATGTGGGTAAGGGGAGATGAAGAAAAAAAATCATTATTTAAAGGATTGAAAGATTTGTTTGTTGTTTGTTCTTGTTACCAGCCCAAGAGGGGGGGGGGGGGTTAGCCCCCTAACCCCCCCCCCCCCACCCCCCGTAGATCCGCCCCTGATAACAATAATAACAATACACGGGCCGGCTTGTTTGTGCGTATTAACACCAACACGAAAAAGCCAACAAAAATCCAACATTGGCGTTGGCTGGAATTAAACGTATAAAGCGCTATCATATTTGCTCAAAGGCTGGTTCAGAATTATCGAATATTTGTCGGCTTCACAAATATTAGAAATGATAATAGGCCTACAGCCTTTTCTGAACCGATTTTGATCAAACAAAGATGATTTTAACATTTAAATTATATGCTCTTTCAAATTTTTAATTCAGTTTTTCATCAACTCTTGACAAAAAAAAAATGTGTAGCACCCTCTATACCAAAATCCAACTATCCCTTTAAGACTTAAGCATTATGAAAGTTCGGTCCCTATAACAAAAAAAATATCGCTATTTAACATGGTAAAGACGCCTAGGATCACTGTTAAATGTGAATCATACCTTCAGCTCGTTCGTCTTCCCTCTGCTCTAGTTCTTTCTCGAGATACTCAACTACCTCAATATGACCATGGCCTGTTGCAAGAAGAAGTGGTGTGTGACCAGCATTATCGGTCCTCTCAATCTCTGCTCCTTGACGAACGAGGTACCGAACTATAGCAAGATGACCATTGCCTGATGCAGCATGAATTGGTGTATCACCATGATTATCGCAATTCTCAATCAGTGCCCCTTGACCAACGAGATACTGAACTACATGAAGACGACCTTTTAGTGATGCACCGTAAATAGGTGTCTTACCATCAACATCAGGCTTATTAATATTTGCTCCTTTACTTATGAGATACTTAACTACATCAATATGACCTTTGGCTGATGCAATAATAAGTGATGTCGAACCTTTATTATCAACCTTCTCGACCTGTGCTCCTTGACCAACGAGGTACTCAACTACGTGAAGATGACCTTGCTTTGATGCCGAGTAAAGAGCTGTATTACCATCATCATCAAGCTTATTAATCTTAGCTTTGTTACCAACGAGACACTGAACTACATCAAGAAAACCCCAACCTGATGCGAAGTGAAGTGGTGTCGAACCACCGATATTGCCTTTATCAACATCTGCCCCTTGATCAACGAGATACTGAACTACTCCAAGATAACGATTAGTTGATGCATATAAAAGAGGTGTATTACCGTCTTCATCATACGTGTCAATGTGTGTTCCTTGACCAATCAGATACTGAACCTCATTAACATCTCCATTTGCAGCTGCCAAGTGAAGGGCTCTATAAGTACCGGCAGGCTCATTTGCTGCTCTTTCTGCCATATTTTGATATGTCTGTGGACCAAATTGTAAACAAATCTTATAGATATTTCTTCGTTCTAGACCATATCGTGTTCGTGAAAGTTACCTTCGAGTTCAGTAAATCGTTCTTGGAAGAGACTAGATACATGAAGTTACCCGCGTAAATATTCAATTCACTTCTGAATGACAAACGCCTATAAACCAAAACAACAACAACAACAACAACCCGCTCTGCAGCCTTCTCTTTCTCTGTTAACCTGCAGGTTTAAACAATTCGTAGCCTACTAATTGATATGCATTATTACGGCAGAGGAATGCTTCTGATTTAATGAAGAAATGCGTGCGAGCACAATTGAAATGTTATGATTAAAGAATCCGTCTGGGATAGTCCTGTCCGTCTGGGTACAAGTTTGATATATCCACGATATTCGTCTGATATCTTTCACATAAGCCAACGTGCTCCGGACCATCCAAATATACCATCAAAAGCCTGTTCCTTCAAAATGAAATTGTAAGTTGTCAAAGCAAATAACAAATCAGTGCATAAAATTGTTCCACGATAAAACGCATATAATTTTTCTTAAAATTTAGCCTCTCTGATTTTATCCGAAGAATTTACCTTGTATTTGATAGTATATAACACAAAGGTAAGAACTAAATAATTCATTTGTGTCTGTCCACAGTTCCCGATCAAACTTCATTGATTGAACAGTCATGGAGAAAATGGCGGATCCTTTTGTGAGAAATAGGCGTTGTTATGTAGAAAATCATCACGACAGTACGTCACCTCGATGGAATGTAAGCGAGAGTAGTAATTTACAAGAGAAGATATGCACGGTTGACTATTTAGAATGAGCCGAAACCAGCTAGTCGCAGTGATATTTACCTACAAAATTTATATTGAGCTTACCCACTTGATCGCAAAAGTATTTCATTTTCCCATGATTAAATCCAATTGAAAATCAATTTACATTTTCTGTATTAGTTTGAATAACGCAAGAATGGATGTATCATTCACAATTATTATTATTGTATAATCGGGAAATATGACTGTTAGTGCTATTTTGTTTTCTAAACACAAAATCTTTCCTAAAATCTGCTTCCAAAATTACCGTACTTTATTTCTTTAATACGCAAGAAATTCGGCACATAGGACCATTTTATCAAAGCTCTTTTGGCGTTACTTGAGCTAATTTGTCTACATTTTTAGATATAGGCTACAGCCCGCGAGACCGGCATTTTGTCTATCTTCTTCTATGTATTTCTTTGTTTCGTCGGTCTATCGGGCTGTCGGTATCTGTCATAAAAAGGAATTTTTTCAAGGCAAGAAGGGAATTATTTTGTTTAAGCACTGGTAGGAAATGTACTACTCAAAGGACAGTTAGAGGTAGTCAAGCGGAGGATGCATTATTGCATAAATTTGCATTTAAGACACACAGTCTATTGGGTTTTTGTTATTGCATGTTTTTCAGTTGGCTATTGAATGTAAATTGAAATATAAATATCTTACATACCTGGGAGGTTGGGGTGTTAAAGAGAAAGTTCATTGATTTAAAAAACTAACTTTATTGTCAGTATTGCAAAGGTGACACTTTGATTGGAAAAGGTTTTCAAAATTCAATGCTTGGTTTTCGAATTAATAATTATTATCAATTAAAAAACCCTTAGATACAGCCTGGCATTGCACCTGAAAATCTCTCCAATCGTTGCTGAGATGTGTGTGACGTCACATGTTGAACATGATTTGCACGAGCAGATCTCGATGTCCCATAACATCTCACACATTTTCAGTGCCTGTTTCGTCATCTTCTCTTCAGTTATTTATCTTACTTCTTGATTCTTAATATATTGCCTCACTCTAAACCCCGCGCATGGTATTTTTTTGATGAAAACTGCAAGGATAAGAAAATAAAGGAATCCGTCGCTTGTAAACAAAATAAAACGCCATCGCATTTTCAGCTGCATACACCGCGGTATGTTCGGCGTTTCAAGAGGGAATAAATGCCGTCCATGCTATCATTCCGGGTTCTTTTTAATTTAAAAGTGTGGTTTCTTTGATTGTTCATTAACCCCTATCCTGTGTTTTACACACATAAGAATTTAGATATCAGACTCGGTTTCATATCCCTTTCCGAATGGTGTAAAATTCCATCACATTTATACACCCTAAACTCATTATAATTTGAGAAATAATAGCATTGCAATTATGTCCATTCTTCATGGGATGTCGTTTGCTTGGGCAGGATCGGTTCATATTGTGACGTTATTAAAACGTCGTTACTTTTCTGGCGAATCTCACGTATATCCCAGATGATATGGAGGTGGTTTTATTTGTATTTTTGTATAAATCACCCGATATGTAGTTGACCTCAAACTTGTACGATGGCCATTTGTTAGCTTACCATTTTCTAGTGATACGTTATTTGCCATATTTGTGATTTTCTTTGAACCTGCACTTTAAGGCTCCAGGCAAGGAAGGGTTAAGGGAATTTGCTTAGAAATAATGGGCAGAACCCTTCAATGCACGAGGTAGATTTTATAAAGTAAGGCAGCAGAAACATTTTCTTCTGAGAGATCTCCATGTCGGGGCGAGATGCGAGCCAAATCTGCCATGTTTTCGATTGAAGTATTAGACACTCGTCAATAACGAGCTCTGTCTGCCTGCACGCAGGCGCGGATCCAGGATTTCTTAGAGGGTGAGGGGGCCCAATTCGCATCACCCCCACTCTTACATGCAGGCCCCGCTGAACGTTTTTCAAAATACTTAAGTATTTACGATCAGGTAGAGCATAGCATAGATTGGCGTGGGGTCTAGGAGGCAAAGCCCCAGCGGGGATCAAGGGGCGCAGAGGGGGGTATGGACATTAAATAATTACAGTCAGATGAGCATATTTTGATACCTTATTCATGGCACTGGCTGGTCACTAATTGGCGTGGGGTCCAGCCCCCTGAAACCCAGGGATTTGAGGCATTTTATAACGGTCAGATAAGCATTCAAGGGCCCGTCTTAGGCCCCCGGGTCGAGTCGAGGGGGCAGAGCCCCTAGAAACCCAGGGGTTTTAGGCAATTTAATTATGGTTAGATGAGCATATTTATATTTGTGAAACTGCATGGCACGACACTAATTGGCCTGGGGTCAAGGGGGTGGAGCCCCAAGAAGATCGGGGATTTTACGCATTTTAAAACGGTCAGATAAGCATTCAGGGCCGCCTTAGAACCCGTGGTTGGGTCGAGGGGGAGGAGGCCCCTGAAGCTCAGGGGTTTTAGGTATTTAATTATGGTCAGATGAGCACTGATATATTTGCGATACCTTATATGTGACACTGGTAGGACACTAATTTGCGTGGGGTCCAGGGGACGGAGCCCTCGGAAACTCAGGGTTTACGGCATTAAACTACTGTCCAATGAGCATCTAGGGGCCGACCTAAAGGCCCTTGGTGGGGTCCAGAAAATTGAACATGTTTTATTACTTACATCATATTTTTATGGAGAGACAATGCTATTATGTCAATAACATTTTCTAATATGTTATATATAATGTGTACCTAATTTCTGTGTTGGCGTTACATTTGCAAGTGTCTCTCCTTTCTTTATATTCTTATTGCTTATCCTTGATTTGTTACTCTCTTAGGTGGAATCCAGAGGGCAGCGCCCCCGAAAGCTTAGGGGATTTAGGCATTTAATCACGGTCTGATGAGCATTATTTCTTTCTCTCTTTCTTTCCCACTAAGTCCGATCGAGACCGACAAAAAAAGGCATGAAAAATATTGAAATGGAGAGGTCCACGAGGCCAATGACACAAGACACTGTCACGTGAGTGATTTTTTTAAAAATTATTTTAACTGCTACCTAATCAGAAACCACAATTTTATTGAGGTATAATGATGTTTTAATCTTCAGCCTTCAAATCATGGCGTTAAAAATCAACAGAACATAAACAATTTACTATAGTACATAACTTTAGGACAGGGTAGCTTCCATCTGGTGAGTCCCTCACAGCTCCGGGTCGCTTGTCCAGTCTCTATACTTGGTACACTTCCCCGTCGACGATAGTAAATTTGTTTATGTTCTGTTGATTTTTTTTGTCGGTCTCGATCGGACTTAGTGGGAATTCGCGGTATTCACCTTTTGTCAACATTGGTCCCTCTTGGAGCTTGTGTCATTGTCTGTCCATCGGGCTGTCGCTCTAGTGAACCGTATTTAGTTTGGTAAAGTCGGTCTTGTGGGCTCTTAGACAAGTAGGATGGCATGAAATGACCAAGACGATCCTGCGCGCACCCGTTGCACCCGGCGGTGTTCTTTAGTAAAGTTTCAGAGCCCCCGGAAGCTCAGGGGTTTTAGGCTTTTAATTACGGTCATATGAACATTTTTTTTTTTATACCTATTTGTGATACTGGCAGGACACTTGGCGTGGAGTCCAGAGGGCGAAGCCCCCGGAAGGTCAAGGGTTCTAGGCATTAAATTACGGCCAGAAGAGTATCCAGGGGCCCGCTTTAGGGCCCTTGGTTGGGTCCAGGGGCAGAACACCCGGAAGCTCAGGGGTTTTAGGCTTTTAATTACGGTCAGATGAGCATTTGTTTTATACCTTATTTGTGACAAGTAGGATGGCATGAAATGACCAAGACGATCCTGCGCGCACCCGTTGCACCCGGCGGTGTTCTTTAGTGAAGTTTCTATGGTTCCAAAATAACTTACATTACATAGAGTAGGGAATAACATGAACAAAATTAATGCTTTCTGATACATACAGTAGTTGTAGATATTTCGACTTTCAAACAACTTGACTCCCTCCATGAAGGAACGTAATGTTTGACTTGCTTTCAATTCCACGTGTATAAAAGAAAGAAGGAAAAAGGTCATCAACTCATATATGAAGTCTTTCCTCCCCCTTTTTCTCGTTCTCTTTGTGTTGTGGAGTGGGGGGGGGGGGGTGGGGAGGATGGAAGGGGCTAGCAGCAGGTTCATCCTTGATCAGCCATCTGTGTATTTCTAGTGTTCATGCATAACGATGAATAGATTTG